CAAACAACTGCACACCAATAAATTGAAAAATCTAGAAGAAATGGATAGAAATTGACAAAATAATTTACCAAAATTATGGTATGGAAACAGAGAAAGCCTGAATAGATCAATAACCAAAGATGAGGCTGACCAGTAACAAAGAGCCTCACAGCAAAGAAAAGTCCAGGACCAGAAGACTTTGCTGAATTCTACCAAATTTTTAAGGAAGATAACAGAAATCTTCTTACACTATTCAAAACAACTGAAAGAGGGGGAACTCTTCCAAATTCATCTGGTGAGTGCTTAATTACCTTAATTCTAAAACCAGAGAATGCTTTAACAACAAGGAAGTACCAATAGACCAATATCTCTGGATGAACATAGATCCAAAAATCCCAACAAAATATTAGCAAATTGAATCCAACAGCACATCAGAAAGATAGTCCACTCTGATCAAGTAGGATTTATTAATCAACAACAGAGACATATCACATCAACAAAATAAAGAATAAAAACCAATAGGTGCAGAGAAAGCATTTGGTAAAATACAACATCTATTCCTGATTTAAAAAATAAAACCTTTGAAAACTGGGTACAGACGGGACATAGCTCAACATAATAAAGGCAATATATGACAAACCCACAGCCAGCATCATACTGAATGGGGAAAAAGTTGGAAACCTTTCCACTGAGATCTAGAACGAGATAAGAATGCCCACTCTCACTATTATTATTCAACATGGTTCTGGAAGTTTTAGCTAGAGCCATTAGGCAAGAACATGAAATCAAGGGACATGAATTGGAAAGGAAGAAGTCAAATTATCCCTGTTTACAGATCACACGATCCTTTATACAGGAGAACTAAGACTCCACTAAGAGGTTATAAGAACTCCTAAGAGAATTCAACAAAGTTGCAGGGTATAAAATCAACACACTAAAATTAATAAGATTCTTACACACCAACTATACTGTGGTTGAGAAAGAACTTGTTCAATCAGTCCCATTCACAATAGCTACAAAAAATTAAATATCTTAGAATAAGTTTAACTAAGATGTGAAAGATCTCTACAATGGAAATTATAAAACATTACTATGAAGGAAATAGAAGAGACAAAAATGAAAAAAATCTTTCTTGTACATAGTGCTTCCAACACTGGAATCAACAGAATTTCCATACTACCCAAAGCAATTTATAGTGTCAATGTGATCCAACCAAAATTCCAAGGACTTTCTTCATAGAACTAAAAAAAAAACCAATCCTATACTTCATATGGAAACAGAGAACACCCTAAATAGCCAAAGTAATCTTAAACAATAAAAAAATCTGAGGCATCACAAAACCAGATTTTTAGACATACTACAAGGTTATTATAATCAAAATAGCCAGATATCGGTATAATAGAATAGACATGTAAACCAATGGAATGGAACAGAAATCCCCAGGAATGCATTCACTTATGCACGGCCAACTAATCTCTCAAATGAACAAAAATGATTCCCTGGAGAAAGGACAGCCTATTCAACAAATGGTGTTTCAAAACTGGAACTCCGCATGCAGAAGTTTAAAGTAAGACTCTTACCATACACCCTATACAAACGACTCACAATGGATTAAGGATCTAAACTTAAGATTTGAAATAAAATTTCTACAGGAAAACACTGCATAACATTGGTCTAGGCAAAGACTTCTTGGATAAGATCCCAGAAGCACAAGCAATAAAAGCAAAAATAGACAAATGGGATTACATCAAGCTAAGAAACATGTGCACATCAAAGCAAGCAAAGGAGAAATTTTTTGCAAACTATGTACCCTATAAAGGATTAACATCTAAAATACATACATAGAGTTCAAGAAACTCAACAGCAACCAGTTAAGAAATGGGCAAAGGCCGGCGCCATGGCTCACTAGGCTAATCCTCTGCCTTGCGGCGCTGGCACACCGGGTTCTAGTCCCGGTCGGGGCGCCGGATTCTGTCCTGGTTGCCCCTCTTCCAGGCCAGCCCTCTGCTGTGGCCCGGGAGTGCAGTGGAGGATGGCCCAGGTGCTTGGGCCCTGCACCCCATGGGAGACCAGGAAAAGCACCTGGCTCCTGGCTCCTGCCATCGGATCAGCACGGTGCGCCGGCCGCAGTGCACCGGCCGCGGCGGCCATTGGAGGGTGAACCAACGGCAAAGGAAGACCTTTCTCTCTGTCTCTCTCTCTCACTGTCCACTCTGCCTGTCAAAAAAATAAATAAATAAATAAATAAATAAAAATTAAAAAAAAGAAATGGGCAAAGAATATGAACATTTTTCAAAGGATGAAATACAAATGGACAATAGACACATGAAAAAATGCTCAAGATCAATAGACACTAGGGAAATGCAAATAAAATCCACAATGAAGTATTACCTCATTGTAATTAAAATGTCTATTATCCAAAAATTAAAAAAAAATAACAAATGCTAATGAGGTTGTAGAGGAAAAAGGTACTCTAATACATTTATGGTGGGAAGGCAAATTGGCACAGCCATTATGGAAAACATTATAGAGAATCTTCAGAAAACTAAAACTAGATCTGCCATATAACACAGCTATCCCACTCTTGGAAATACATCCAAAGGCAATGATATCAGCATACGAAAGAGATACCTGCACTCTCATGTTTACAGCAGCTAAATTCACAATAGCAAACAAGTGGAATCAATTTAGAAATCCATAAACTAATGACTGGATAAAGATAATGTGTTGTGTGTACATTATAGAATATTATTTAGCCATAAAAAGTATTAAATCTTGACATTTTCAAGAAAATAGATGTGACTTAAGATCACTGTACTAAGTGAAAAAAGCAAAACCCAGAAACACAAATATCACATGTTTTCTCTTATTTGTAGAAGTTAATATACATAGAGAGCATAAAAATTATCTGGAGAGCATATCATTGAGTATTTAGATATAAACACTTTCTCACTGAATTACATCCTATAAATGACAATACACCCTCATATAAATGACAATATACTTTTTCTCCATTGTCATGAATCCCTCAATCTGTGTTTTTTGTATCTGTATTCAAGGGAAAAAAACTGATATATATGTATATGTATATACTGTCTATATCTGAAGTCAATGTGACAAAATGTTAAATAATTATAAAATAAAGATATACTATGTTTACGAGTCAAATGATTCACCATCTTTAAAATTTCAACTGATCCCAACCGTATTTCCTAATTCAGCACAATCCAAATCCAAATCCTAAAATGTTTTTGCAAAAATTTAAAAATAGATTCCTAAATCAATATATAAATGTAGATAAAATGGAATAGCCTTCAGTTTGAAAAGGAAAAACAAAGTTGGAGGATAAGTACTACTTGATTTCAAGACATAAATTCATGTTAATGTTAAAAATGCAATGTTGGCACCTGGCTCCTGGCTTCGGATCGGCGCAGCGCACCGGCCATAGTAGCCATTTGCAGGGTGAACCAACGGAAAGGAAGACCTTTCTCTCTGTCTCTCTCTCTCTCTCTCACTGTCTAACTCTGCCTGTCAAAAAAAAAAAAAAAGAGTAAAAAATAGATTAATGTAACAGAATAAAGAATCCAAAGTTAGATCTCACAGAAACAGAAAATTTACATTCTACATAGGTGCACAAATAATTCAAGCCTACCCAAAGATAATCGAATTGTGTTTGTATTTGAACATTGGATATCTATATGTAGAAAGAAAAATTTCCATCTATTATTAATAATGTATATAAATAATAACTCAGAATGGACCATCTACTTACCCAGAAATTCTAGAATTATTAAACTTCTATGGAAAATTTGGGGAAAATCTTTATGATTCTTGTTTAGGCTAAGATTTTTCAAAAGAACAAAATCAGTAAGTTGAATCTCATCTAATTTAAAACTGACTTTTAAAAAAACATAGTGCTAATAGGATGAAAAGAAAAGCTATAAATAAAGAATATTTTCAAATCATCTATCAGGTAAAGGACTTCTATCTAAGGTATCCTGAAAACTCAATAATATAAAAACAAATAATCCAGTAAAATATGTGCAGTGGACCTAAACAGATATTTCATCTAATACTATTTAGATATGGTAAATATTCACATAGAAAGATAATTAACATCATTAGTCATTAGGGAAATGCAAAAAATGAGAATTAAAGACCATTACACACATATTAGCCTGGTTAAAATTTAAAAGACAACTGAACACAGGGTTGAAAAGTATAGAAAAAGTGAAGCTCCATACATCTTTGGTGGAAATGTAAAATGGTACACAATTTGGGAAACAGGTGAGCTGTTTCTTAAAAAGTTAAACAGAGGGCCCAGTACTGTGGCAAACTAGGCTGAGACTCTGCCTGCAGTGCCGGCATCCCATATGGGTACCATTTCATATCCTGGCTGCTCCTCTTCTGATCCAGCTCTCTGCTGGCTAATTCCAGGATCCTGGAACTCCATCCTGGAGGAGGCTCCTGGCTCCTGGCTTCAGATTGGCCCAGCTCCAGCCACGGCCATCTGGGGAGTGAACCAATGGATGGAAGGCCTTTCTCTCTGTCTCTCCTTCTCTCTGTCTGTAACTCTGTCTCTCAAATAAATACAATCTTTTTTTAAAAAAACAGATATGCACCATATGTCACTACCCAATGGAAGTATCTGTTAATACAAAATCACTGTAACTTTTTTGTAATGTCCAAAATTATAGCCTAGAAAAAATATATCACAAGTTTATATTTGTTCAAAAATTAATCATAATGGAAAAGAATGCATTGTAACCAACTAAGTGCACTCAAGTTCTATATTTTGTTCCATGTTCAGGTTAAGAATAGAAAAAATGTTAAGAATAGAAAAAATGCACCAAATATAATTAATGTAGCAAAAATGACATTGTCTTTCTTAGCAATATATAGCTTGATTATAAATTTAAATAATTATAAGATATTAATGACAGTTTAGTTATTCAAGATGACTTTTATAATCTGAAACTAATAAACCAATTATTTAAATATTTAAAAATTCAAATACTTACAATAACATGTGCCTCTAAGTGGATTACCAACATAACGATTTTCAGAGTCACATCTGCAGAAACACAAAAACTCATTTACTCTTAAAAATGTAACTCAAAATTTGCTACTTCACAAAAAAAGTACACTCTACATTAAACAACTTAAAAACTGTATCATTGATTGAAATTTTAAAACTAAGTCGTTAAGGGGGAACAGCATGTGGTGCAGCAGGTTAAGCAACTGCCTCTGATGCTGGCATCCCATTTGAGTGCCGGTTCTAGTCCTGACTGCTCCACTTCTGATCCAGCTCTCTGTTAACACACCTGGGAAAGCAGCGGAAGACGGCTCAAGTTCCTTGGGCCTCTGTCACCCACATGAGAGACTTGGATGAAGTTCCAGGATCCTGGCATTAGCCTGCCCAAGCCCTTGCTATTGTGGCCATTTGGTAAGTGAACCAGTGGATGGAAGATCTATGTGTGTGTGTGTGTGTGTCTGACTGTCTCTGTGTCTCTGTCTCTCCTCTCTCAATAACTCTGGCTTTTGAGTGAATAAATCTTAAAAACAAACAAATAAACAAAAAACCAACCAAGGCTTCAAAAAGGAATGAATTGTAGAAACCCTGTATCTGAACATGAGTAAGAGAAGAAATAAATGGAAGGGCTGGCACTGTGGCCTAGTAGGTTATGCATCTACCTGCAGTGCAGGCATCCTATATGGGCACCAGTTCAGGCCCCAGCTTTCCAGTTCCTATCCAGCTCCCCGCTGATAACTTGGGAAAGCAGTAGAAGATGGCCCAAGTGCCTGGTCCAGTGCACCCACTTGGCTCCCAGCTTCAGACTGGCACAGCTCTGGCCAGTGTAGCCATCTGGGGAGTGAACAGGCACATAGAAGATCTCTCTATCTCTCCCTCTCTCTGACTGTAACAATGCCTATCAAGTAAATAAACTTCTTTTTTTAAAAAAAGAAGAAATAAGTGAAAAGGAAAAAACAAAGATACACAGATGAATATAAGGCACATCAAAGGCAGACAGGATCGATTTATGAGCTTTGATATATTTATCTTTCCTTAATAATATGAGAAGTTGAAAGTATAATAGAGATGTACAGATATTATTAAGTAGAAAAAAAAATAGAGCCGGTGCCACAGCTCACTAGGCTAATCCTCCGGGTTCTAGTCCCGGTCGGGGCACCAGATTCTGTCCCAGTTGCCCCTCTTCCAGGCCAGCTCTCTGCTGTGGCCAGGGAGTGCAGTGGAGGATGGCCCAAGTGCTTGGGCCCTGCACCCCATGGGAGACCAGGAGAAGCACCTGGCTCCTGCCATCGGATCAGCGTGGTGCGCCGGTTGCAGCACGTCGGCCGCGGCGGCCATTGGAGGGTGAACCCACGGCAAAGGAAGACCTTTCTCTCTGTCTCTCTCTCTCACTGTCCACTCTGCCAGTCAAAAAAAAAAAAAAAAAAAGTAGAAAAAAATAAAGAATTCACAATCCACATCATGTTCTTTTTGTTTGATTTGAAATTAATATATTTCCCCCCCAGTTACTATACCAATTAATCTGTTTTAAAGAGATCTCTTTAGTTGTAAAATGCAAAAAAGTTTTAGTTTTCTCTGTATCAACCATGCCAAATAAAATAGACTAATATAGACTAACTTTAGGAGATCAAACTTTTAATTCATGTGGGTAGATTATTTTAAAAATGGGATAAAATATGAGCATTCAAGCTAATGAGTTCAAAGGTAAGTATATACAAATGTTTATTGCAATGAGATAAAATCATGTTATTCCTTGGAAATACTCCAAAATAATATATATACTTCAAGATAATGGAATAAGGTGATTTAATATTTAAATTACATGTAAAAATTTACAGAGTTAAGAGAGATCTTCTGAAATCTCTTTAGTTGTAGTAGAGTTCATTAGTAAAGAAGAATACTTTAATATACATTATATCTTAACTAATATATATGTTAGCTAATGGTGAGTCAAATAGTGGAGAATAATGGGATAAATAATCAGACTAAATTTTCATTGTTAGTTTTTGTATTCAGGCAATAAAAAGAGTAAATTTTGTTCCAGACTAACTACTAAATTAAATTAGAAAAATGATAGTCCTTTATACAACCAAGTCTGCAAAAAAAAGAAAAGAAAGAGAAAAAAAGAAAAGCAATCTGATTGTTGGGTTTTGTGTGACTTCTCCAAACACTTATTTTAAAATTCATGACATACAGTTTTCTGCCCTCATAAAACATATTCATTACGGCCAGGTTAAGCACTTCAGAATCTACACTGTTATAATACTATTGTTCCTTCCTTTAGACACACCTCCTTAAATCCTGTTCCTTCATATCAAGTATATACACACATTGAAAGACTATTTACATTTGACATTCAAATAATTCTGCTGCAAAAAAATAAACTTAATTTGTCATGAGTGTCTCAACACTCCCATTAGCATAGAAAAATACTCAAGATAATATTCATGGTATTTTTTTGTATAAAATTCTCTGCATATCTTTCTTATTCAAATATATGATTTCAAAGTCCAAAAGCAAACAAAAACTACTGATTTTTACAAATGACAAGGAGTTTCGAGTATGTTTTAATTGATTACATTGACTTAAAGAGTTCCAAATTTTTTTTAAAAAGTTTCAAGATAAATTCCATTTATCTTATCAGAAATCATAAGGTTTCCTTTCATCCTAATAATTCTTAATTTATTAAAATTACATAATATATTAGGTAGAAAATTTTTGTATTTGTGATTATCTTCAACACTTGGTTCTACAAAACAATTGCTAAAATTTTACTTTCTCCAAACCACAAGTTTTCTCAGAGATATGAAATTACATGATCTTATTTAGTGAGTAACTTGCTATTTTTCATTAGTCAGGCTCAGCAATTTTAATAGAAAAACATGATCAGCCCCATATTGTTAAGAATTCCACTGAGAAGTTTTACAAAAGTGTTCAGTATAAGAATTATGTTCTCTATTAAATTGTTATAATTCAAAAAAATAAATTAGAACATATACTCTTTAAAGTACTTTCAAAATACACAATTATGAATTGAATGTAAATATCAATTATTGGTAGTTTTAATTTCGGGTATTATTTAAAGAATCACAAGCACCTGCAACCAGCTAATGAGATAGTTACGAAGTTAGATAGTTATGGAGAAAACATAACAATGAGATTTCAGTCTAAAACGGCCCGGAAAGCCCAAAATTAGATATAATGTTAATTTCCAAGGTAATCTTTAATTTTATGAAACAAATACTGCATTAAGTTTCTTACAAGAACTAAAAATGTTGATCTCAATTTCCACATGCAAAAGTAAATGTACAAGAACAGCTGAGAAAACACTGAAAAGATTTTTGGAGAGAGCTAAAAAAGAAAGACATTAAAATATGCTGAGTCTTCATAATTTAATAACAAAATACAAGCACATCAATACAAAGACCAAAGATATGCTAAAGAAATTCTAGGAATAGGCTTAGCTATCATGTAGTAAAAGTTTAGTATATAATAAAATTAATGCCTTAAATGATTATGTTAAGACAGTCTTTTAATGAATGGTATTATGACAACCAAATAGCCATATATAAAAATACAAAATCAGATCTAATATACTATAAATAAAACCTTAAGTGAATCAAAATTTAAATGCAAAAAATACTTTAAGTATATTAGAGGAAACGATAAGTTACTTGCACTATAACTTAAGTATAATTAAATGCTTCTTAACTATAAACAAAATCCTAAATGCAACTTCATGAAGATGAAGCCAACGTTAAAAAAAAAAAAAAACTTTCACATTAAAGACTCCTAATGGCAAAGTAAGACCATTAATAAAGTCAAAAGATATATAACAAATTGGGAGTAAATATTTGTAATAGATTACAGAAAAAGGACTAAAGTCCATGACTTATTGAGAACTCTTTAAAAATATGGGAAAGAAGACTAGTAATTCTACTAAAAAAAAACTGTCAAAGGCATGAACAAACAATTCAAAAAAATATAAAAATGGCTCTTAATCATTCAAAGAGACGTTCAGTTTCACTCATAATAAGGGAAATGTGTGTTAAAATTACACCACGATATCAATCCTTCCCTATCAGACTGGCAAACTTTAAAAAAACATTCTGGCCCATCTGGTAAGCTGCCACTCAGGATGCCTGTACCCCACATCAGACTACCTGGTTAGAACCCAGGCTCCTCAGCTCTTCCTGTCCAGCTTCCTGCTCATGTGTGTGGGTGGCAGCAGATGATATCTTAAGTGATTCAGTCCCTGCTCCCACTGTGAGAGACCCAGATGGAATTCCTGATTCCTGACTTTGGCCTGGCACAGCCCAGGCTGCATTCATTCATTCATTCATTCATTTTCTCTCTCTGCCCCCTCCCACTCTGACTTTCAAATAAATCTTTTGGAAATAATACCAATTTGCTCAGCTTATGAACCTATGGCTAATCCGGCCCTCCAATACTTTTGGTTGGTGGGAATAGAAAATGAGAAAATCACTATGGAGGGGAATTCTTTACAAAGTTTACAAGAGTTAATCCTCCAAAGTTGCAGATACACATACACACACACACACACACACACACACACACACATACCCAACACATACCCAACATAAATGGGCATTTCTGAGTCACAAGTCTATTTAAGACTTCTCATAAAATATTTGTGGTAATATTAACACAACAAACTGCACGGCCTGCATAGTGGTGTACTGGGTAAAGCCATTGCCTGAGACATTGGCATCCCGTATAGGTGCCAGTTAAAGTCCTGGCTGTTCCACTTCCAATCCAGCTCCCTGTTAGAGTGCCTGGGAATGGAGCAGAGGATGACCCAAGCCCTAGGGCCCTGCACCCACGTGAGAGACTCAAATAAAGCTCCTGGCTCTTGGTTTCCGAAAGGCCCAGTTCTGGCAATTGTGGCCATTTGGGGAGTGAACCAATGGATGAAAGAACGATGAAATAGGCATTCAAATAAACAAATAAATATTTTTAAAAAGCTGGAATTACTGGGGCTGGCACTGTGGCTCACTTGGCTAATCCTCCACCTGCGGCAC